GAAAAAAATTTGCCAAACACCATATAAAAATCTCAAACCATGGTTTTGGGGGAAACCATGGTTTCGGATAAAGCCACCAGGAGCTGCTTCTGCTTCAAATTATTGAACGTTGGTGGTGGGTCCAGGGAATATTACACAGAGCATGCGTCAATTATTTGCTTCTTCCTTCACTCTTCACCGAGCTCCTGGTAAGAAATAATCATATTTTTTGTTGGCAAAATAAATTATTTTACAAAAAACATATTTACTTATTTTATTAATATATATACGTATTAATTTTTTTATTTATGTCTTATTTATGTCTTATTTATTATGTTGCCAAAATATATATTATTAACAAATTTATTACTTCAAATAAACATATATTATGAAATATATCTTATATGTAATTATCATTTAAACTTATGTCATTTTTAGTAATTTTTACATATAAAAAAGTACTTCTGACAACAACTATCCAAACACTCTCACTTTATCAGAATCATTTTTTCAGAAAATCTATTCTTTCAAAATCTATTCTTTCCAAAATCTAATCTCTAGAAGTTATTTTTTAAACCATAGTTTGATTTCATACAAATACCCCTGTTTGAGAACAGACCGTGATGGCATAGTTGGGCTTGCTTCTTGCTGAAGCAAGTAAGGGTGCTGGTCTTAACATTATAAGCGTAACTATAAGCATCAGGACACTGCGTCTTGAAACTTGAGGGGACTGGGTGGGCGGGCATTTCTCTGGCGTGTTAAAATCTCCAGTGCAACAATACTGCGGCTCATTGAAAGCCAAGCAAGCAATAACTGTCCCATCCGACCCGATTACTTTTAGTGGATCCGGGCACACCCGGTGCTGCCTTGTGGGGCTATGGACAAGGGCAAGTTGAATCCGTCTGCATTGCCCACAGCATAGAAATCTTGTCCACCGTTCGCTGCCACCGCGAGTTCTATCAGCGTTGACCCGGCGCCGTTGGAGCTGACTTTGACATCGCATCTCTGTTTTTCCCAATTTGCATTATTTTCCTTTTTTCCAAAAAAAAAATACCATTGTTATTAACAATAATCAATATCAATAATATTATTATATCATGTCGGTGGTGCTTCCTGGAAGTCTCATTGACTTGTGTACGGACACCTAAGAACAACCTAACCAATTTCTCGCATCTCGCATCTCCTAATAACCCGCCCCCTTCATTCAACTTGTGCCGATATATCCCAAAAACATCCCCATCGTTCGCACTGTCGTCTGTAGCATTCCTCTCCACATCAACTTATTATGGTTCTTCTGTATATGCAGAGCAAATAAACATTTTCTTTCGTGGAAGTCAATTACTAAATGCGTTATTTCAATTACCGTAATTGAAGAATTATGGGAGCTTCCCGCTGTGGTATAAATCATATATATAGGTTCGTTGTATTTTAATAGCAGAATTAATTTAGTTGTAGAAATACTACTACTCGCAATTTTATTCTCCGGACAAATTGGATCCGATAATTATCTGTAGAGGTAGAATATGAGATTTTAGAAATTAAGTGAGGAAACAGTATCGGGATGGCGTCCGTACCAAGAATTAGAATCTTTGGGTAATAAAAGAACCCGATGATGGTGTATACCACTCGCTTCACCGACGCTAGGCCAGATCCACAGCCAAGTGCTTCCGTGACCGTGACCTTTTTTTCTTTTAATTAAAAAAATGATCAGGTCTTTTTAATATAGAGAAAGTTACAAATAATGACCTCCAAATATATAAAATTACGATTTGAGATTTTGAATTTGGAAAACAGCAAATAAGAACTAGGTCTTACTTTTGTAAATATGAAATGTAGGTGAAATGTTTAAAATATCCCTCAGCCAAATTGTGATTTGATCTGCTAAAATTATCATTTACTAAAGTGAACTTATAATTTTCCATAATTAACTCGTCATTTGGTATACTCTCAGCTAAGTTTTGATTTGGTCTACTAAAGTTGTTATTCACTAAATTGAACTTGTCATTTCTCATAGTCAACTTATCATTTGGTTGAGGGCATTTCCTACATTTTCACTCACATTTTATATTTGCAAAAGTGGGACTGGATTCTTATTTTCTATTTTCCAAATTTAGGATCCCAAATTGTAATTTTACATATTCAAGAGTTTTTATTTGTAGTTTTTCCTTTTAATAATGGTTTTTTGATGTAAAGTCAGAGTTTTTTATAAATTAATTTGTACGTAAGACTAACATTTATCAGGTCAAATACATTAAGATTAAAGTGCATGTTCTTAATAAATATATTTTTCAAAATTTGAACTTGTAATATTACCTCTGATTTTTAATATAAGATCTCATTTGACTTTATTTTAATCCTAAATATAAGACTCAAATCTATTTTATCTTTCATATTTATTCTTTTTTTTAAGGTAATCTTTTTAATAATGATAGTTTTTACCAATACATTTGATTAGTAAAAATATTTTAGAAAAGACAATATATATTTATTACAAATAACTAATTTAATTTATTTTTTAACCTATTTAAATTAGCTAATTAATTTTACAGGAGGAGGTAGCATCTTTCTTACGAACTGATAATGGTTTCAAGGGTGCTTGGAATGATAAGTAGACACCGACTGGAGGGATAGGGAAGGAAAGCGAGGGTGGGTGGGCGGAAAACGCTAACGCTACCCGAGGGATTCGGCCTCCTTTTCCGTCATTCTCACCTCATTCAATGACGTCATATTTCCCCATCCTTTTCTTTATTCTCATTCGAATTAAAATTAAAACACCCGCGATTTAACGAATCTATTATAACTCAATCCCAACTCAAAATGACACCAACCCACAAAAACGTTGCGGTGGCACAAACAAATTATCCGGACGTATTAGAGCATCTGGTCCGAGCCCAAAAGCGACCCGACCCCGGAGGAGGCACGTCTGCTGAGCTAGTTGCTCTGCTCGCCAACCCGAATCCGGTCTTAGATAATTGAGGGTTTGGAGCTCAATTACTTTACTTTTAATCTTTTTAAATTTACGCTTTTAAAATTTTTTAATTTTTTTAAATTTAGGTTCATGAGTTTTAATTAGTTTTTAATTTTCCTTTCACATGGTTAAAATTTACGCTGTTTCTAATTGATTTTATAACTTATGCAAGTAAAATTTTGTAATTTTTTTATATTTAGATAAAAAGGAGGCATTTTTAATTCTACCGCATCTAGTTCCATACAGACCAGTAGTTGTATGTCCATTCCAAATCTACCGTGTCTGGTCCAAAATGAAACAGTCTTCATAAGCCTTTTATGTTTTATCTACGGCATCTGATCTAGATTGAGCCTATCATCGTAACTATTTTTAATTTTTCTTAATCACATATTTCAGAAAAGGAAAAAAAAACTCTTTCCCCTTTCCCCTCCCTAACTTATTTTCTGTTGCTGCCTCTATACTCTGCTCGATCACTTTTTGCCTTGCTCTTGTTCTATCTTCGCCTCTAGCCGTGGATCTTTGTTGGGACTTGTCGGCGATCTTCTTTAGTACCCCGTGAGTCTCTCGTTCACTTTACTTTCTTTTTCTCTTGCCTTCCTCTTCGGCTCTGTCTTTGGTTCTCGCCTAGGTTGGGTCTCATCAGGGGTTTTCTTCAGTTCGCCATGAGTATCGCCTCTTGCAGTGGGTGTTGATAGAGGAAGTTGACATTGAAGCCTTCCAAACAGCAGTCTATCTCATTAATTGTCTTCCCACACCAGTGCTGCAAGGCCGAACACCCTTGTTTCAACTCTATAAAAAGGAACCTGAGTATGAAGCTCTGCAACCTTTTGGGTGTGCTTGTTACCCATGTCTTAAACCATACAATGAGCACAAATTTCAATTTCATTCTCAAAAATGTGTTCCTTGGACCAGCTCCACAACATAAAGGGTTCAAATGTTTAAGCGCAACTAGTAGGATTTATGTTTCCAGACATGTGATATTCAACGGCTCTATTTTTCCATTTGACATAGGTTTTCTGAATAGACGTAGTTCAATTCGTGATGCAATCTCAGATATTCCCATCCAGATCACATCATCACAGCAGCATGAATGCCCAAAGCCATCTTCACTGAGTAACAAAATAGCAGTCTCAACCGAGCCCATCTCTCCTGTGCAGTCTACATCTCCACATACTGAGCCAGGTGTAAGCCCAACACATCATGACCAGCCTAGCACTTTGGAATCCCAGTCACTAGATACTGCAGAGATCCAAACTCAGGACCCTGGTCTTGGTCCAATTCAGGAGCCAACAAATCACCACCCAATGATAACACGGGCCAAAGTCGGTATATCCAAGCCCAAGTATCCCTTTATAGGTTTGCTTGCATCTGAAAGCCCTCAGCTTCTCACTCAAGCGGCTGAACCCAGGAGTGTCACTGAAGCACTCTCTATTCCACACTGGAAGCAAGCCATGAAAGAGGAGTTTGATGCTCTCCAACGGAACCGTACGTGGATCCTAGTGCCCTACCATGATGCTCAAAAAGTTGTTGACTATAGATGGGTATTCAAAATGAAGTTCAAGGTCAATGGATCGATTCTTAAACCCAAGGCAAGACTAGTCGCAAAGGGCTTCCAACAAGCTCAGGGTGTTGATTATGGAGAAACATTTAGTCCTGTAATTAAGCCGAGTACAATTCGAGTGGTATTAACTATTGTTGTCACTTTTGGATGGGAAGTACGTCAGTTAGATGTCAACAACGCCTTCTTGAATGGTTTCCTTCAAAAAGAGGTGTTCATGCATTAGCCAGAGGGATTCCAAGATCGTCGACGGCCTAATCATGTATGCAAGCTCGTCAAGGCTCTCTATGGACTTAAGCAGGCGCCCCGTGCCTGGTTCGATCGCCTACGACATACCTTGATACAGTGGGGTTCCAAAACGCAAAGAGTGATATCTCCTTGTTTTTCCTTCAAAGCCATTGTCTCACAGTGTTCATTTTGGTCTATGTCGATGATGTACTCGTTACTGGTAATGATCAAAGGTATGTCTGACAATTCATTGACAAGTTAAATCGAATGTTTGCACTGAAAGATTTGGGACCTTTGTACTATTTTCTTGGACTGGAAATATATCGAGATGCTTCAGGTCTTTACTTGAACCAAGGCAAGTATGTCTTAGATCTGCTAAAGAAATTTAACATGCTTGATTGTGCACCTGTCCCCACACCTATGGTCACTGGCAGATCCTTTTCTATTTCTGACGGTGAACTCATGACAAACCCCTCTCTTTATCAGAAAGCAATTGGCTCACTTCAGTACTTAACCTCAATGAGACCCGATATCGCTTATTCGGTCAACAAGCTGAGTCAATTCCTCTCTCGTCCCACTACAGTGCATTTTCAAGGTGTCAAAAGGATCCTGCGATACCTCAAGGGAACCTATCATTTTGGGCTGCATGTTAAACCCTTAAATTCATTTTGGTTGATGGCTTTTACCGATGCAGATTGGGCAACTGATGTTGATGATAAGAAGTCTATGGCAAGACTGTGTGTATATTTGGGAGGGACCTTAGTCTTATGGTCATCTCACAAACAACGGGTCATCTCTCGATCAAGTACTAAGTCCGAATACAGGGCACTAGCTGATGGAGTTGTAGAAGTTAAGTGGCTAAATTCATTACTCTTTGAGCTTGGTCTCATGCTTTGACAACCATCAGTTATCTAGTGTGATAATCTTAGCGCTAGCGCCCTCGCATCAAATCCAGTCCAGCATGCTCGGAGCAAACATGTGGAAGTTGATGTTCACTTCATTTGCGATCAAGTTCTCTCAGGAGCCATCGATGTTAGATATGTTCCTTCAACGTCTCAGGTTGCAGACTGTCTAACTAAGGCTTTGACACATACTCAATTCACGATATTACGAGGCAAACTTGGTTTGTGTCCCACACCCCTTTGTTTGAGGGGGCATGTTAGAGAAAATAGATAAATGCTTATAATTATCTATAGTAACATAATGATTGTATATTATAATATCTAGGAATATCCTCTCTCCCACCGAATACAGTGCTATTATGTTTTTGTAACAATATGCTGTTATTATATTGCTCTATATAATACAACAGGCAAGTGCTAGTTAACGCATCGGTGCCTATTAATCAATTCATTGGTTTTCCCTAGATTCTAAGTCTTTTGAATACTATTGAAATGAAGTTGTTGGTGAAGTCTGTTGCTAAAGTTTGCTATATTACTGGGTTGTGTTTGACATCTATATGATATTTAAAATACTAGAACAATTTATTTAATAGATATTATACATGGTGGAGATATTGATAATGGTGCTGATGATGAATTATCAACGATGTGGAACATGTGCTGTATGCATTTGGTGTAGATATAGTAGCTTACGTTTGAACTTTGTTGAATGTTAGATGATAAGTACCTATACAAGTATCTTGATTCCTCATAGAAATGGAGTTCAAAATTTCAATTCAACATTATTAATTAACTAGTAATATTTTATCAATAAACACTAATAGGCCATAGCTAAAAAAAATCATTTTGAAAAATGAACTGAAAGTTTTGCTTTATAAAAATAGAGGGAATGATCCATTGTTTTTGTTGTGCCCTAGGTTTCTAAGACATCATTTAATTTGCTTGGGTTGATTGCATAATGAAAAATGGATTGACTTATGTGTTAGAACTCTTGAAGGCACCTTGGGTTATATTTGACAAAAACCCACCAATTTCGCAAGTTTCTACAAATTTTTTTCTCATTGAAAATTAGAAATACATAGAAACAACTCCAATATAACATATATGTTTATTATTTACTTTGAGATATCAAGGAAAACATTTTTGTTGCCTCTTCCTGAGGGTGCAGTAGTTGCTACTGACCTTTTGTGGCCATTTTCTTCTGCATTATCTAGAGCTCTTCCTGACTCAAATTCTTGAGAATTTTTTCAATCCTCTTAAACTTACCAAGTTCCTTAACTTTAATTGGCATTTCTTTTCTTTTTCATGGGCTTTTTCTTTTGTTGGAATTGTTTTTATTTTATATTCCTTCTAAGATTAAGTTGTTTAAACTTTTGATCATGAAATTTGTTCATTAAATTTTAGCCGCTATTTGGGGTCTTTCTTGCTAGATATAATTGGAATGGTTAGGGGATTGGCTTTGATGTTTACTTCTCCATGCCGTGAGGCAATGCATCTGTAGCTGCTATGGAAATGATCAAGTTGTTGAGTCAGTAGATTATTCATTCATTTATTTAGTTCTCTTATATGGAATAATGTGGGCTGTAGTTTCTGCATGAATGCAATGGTTATTAACTTGAATCAATGGTCTTCAGAAGGTATGACTATACTATTTTATATTTGTTTTGTAAAGTATTTTATGAGTGGAGTCTTTTCTCATTATTAACACCCTTCTGCTTGATCATGATGTGCAATATGATATTATCTTCCACCTATTATGGATGATTAATAGTGAACAACTTTAGTAATACTTTTGTTAAAAAACTTCAATGTGCTCAGACATGAAATTCATAGAATACAACTGGTACACGTCCAAACATACTTTATCTTTAAAACTTGTTGCTTATTACATTACAAAGTAATTTACTTTCCATGTTGAGATTCAAGACATTCATATTTTTGAGTTGTAGAAAAGCCTTTTATTTTTTATGTTTAAGTTCTAGAATGCTTTGAAAGTTTTTTGGTTTATGATAGAAGAAGGTAATTCTTAAGATATAGTCAGTGAGAATGATCTATGGAAAAGTAAAGATATTGAGTCAGACAAAGAATGTTATGTCTTCGTTAGACAAGAAGATATAGCAGAGAGAATGGGTTGCTTCATATTTACTACCCCCTTAACCATACTAAGGTATCTCCACAATTTAGGAAGCTTTATACATGTTATGCTCTACGTGGCATATACACAAAACTTTATTTATTATACAGTTCCATGTTTATAATGAATTGAAAATATGGCATTTGTGCGTCCTAGTGCTTGTTATTGGATCCCTTATTTGGACAAGTCCAACTACGTTTACATCTTTTATCAGTTTCAGATTTCAAGGTTATTTTTTTAAATTATTTGTTAGCTTTATGTGTCAAAGGTAACATCTCGGATGAAATAATGTTCTCAGGTAAAGGATTTGTCTTTGGGTTTCTCTCATTCCTGCAACAATACTTGCAGCTTGAAGAGCATGTTAGCCAAATTAGGCAGAGCATCTAGCTTTTATATTTGTGTTATTACAAATTTATGCAATTGCTGAAATTTAGGTTGGCTTTGGCATTTTTAGTCCTTCTGAAATTAGATATGTGTATATGTACTGAGATGCTTGTACAAATTAGTTCATGAGTAATTGGCAATCATTGGATTTGTGTTTTATTTTTTTTCCCCAAAAAATGACTACTTATGGTGTCTGTTGCAGTGAGCAATATAAGTCGTAAGTTGTGACTTATGGCGTCTGTTGCAGTGCGTAACAGAATCTGTAAGTTGTGACTTATGGCGTCTGTTCCTTTATGACCGACATCATAAGTCCTATCTTTTGCTTCTCTGCCTTCTACTACACCTCCAATGTAGTAGCGAAAGCATATTTTTAATTGAAGCCAAAAGGGGTATTTTGCACTAGTGATAATCTTTATCTTATAAGGAGGCAAAGAGGGGGTCAGCCAAGGCTATAAAAAGAGGTCCAAGAGCAAGGAGCAGGCCATCTCTTCTTCACTCACTCTCTACACCCCTCACAAGCATCCACTAAGGCGTCAAATTCTTTCTATTTCATCTCTATATTTTTGTTTTCTTTCTTTATCAATATGATGTGCTCTAGCCATATGAGTGGCTAGTCTCTTTGTTCTTGAGGAGAGATGTTGTGACTTGAGTCTTATGCTTTAATTTGGATGAGTTGTAATTAGAGTTTTTAATATTTCATATATAAGTTTTATGATTTCGTAGTTGTAGGTTTTGAAACTCTTACATGTGGTTCTTTTGATTATTAATAATGTGAATTGCTTTTTCAGTTATAATTTGTGAGCTTATTTATAAATCCTTTTTCCTCTTATGATTATTTCATGTTATTCTAATATGTTATTTTTAGGGTTGCATGAGTAGTTATGAACTAAGTTTAGTACTAGCTTATTTTTCAAGAATATATCGTTTGAATGTTCTTGTTTTGAGGAACAAATTATAATTGGAATTGAATTTTCACATGCTAAGTGGTTCTGAAAATAATTATTTAGTTGATATTTATATACTAGTTCTAGGTATAGCTATTAATTAAATAGTTATGACCTATGTGTTCACTTGGGATTTATATTTCGACTTAGTACTCTCTTTTTATTAATTCTTATTAACTTTTGGACCGGGATAGCCACACATCAATCTTTGGGAAGCTCATCTTATCAATAAAGTTTTTCTTATTCACTATCTTTTATTTTTGTGTTCTCTGTAATTTTCTTTGTTAACCTTAATTGAAAATCAACATTTTCTTCTACTCATTATTTCTTTTTAATCACATAACTCAATTTAAAAGTTATTTTAAAGCCAAGCTTTGACTCCACAAGAGACTGACCAAGAGTTAGCTCCTATACTACATAGGATTAATACTAATAACTTACTTGAAGCGCTAGTGACAAGTATGATCAGCCCATTACTTGCATTTTTTTTTTTTTGCCTCTTTAAGTCCACCCATTAAGTGCTCAAAATCGATGGACTTAAATGGGTTGGGTTAGTGTGTTATATGGGTGTGTAGTGGGTAAGGGCATGGACTGTCTGTGCCCGCCCATTTACATATAGTTTTTTTTATTTTTATTTATTTCGCATGGTATCAAGTACTTATTAATATAGTAAAAGACGGGATCAAGGTGCAAGCAGATTCAGTCAGTCAGAGTTAGTAACCAATATTTTTGCCCTTTTCTTTTACAATAATTTCTTAGAAAATATGTTTGGGGTTATGATAAAAAGGAAAAAGGAAATATGCTTGGGGTTACGTGGTTTAGACTATGCTTGATGAGAAATCCAAAACACTTCTGCAAATTGAACCGGACACCATTTTGCGTTCGTTTATGGGTCTTGGTGGAGTAGTAACCGAGCTTCACAAGTTAACGTTTGGTTTCTAATTTAGAATCTTTTAATAATGTTTGAGGTTTTCTCTTTTTCTGTTTTGATGTTGCTGTGGGTCTTTATAATTTAATCATATGATAAGTCTCATAATAAATATAATTTTAGAGATACATGAGGAGTTAATTAGGTAATTTCAAATTAAGATTTATTTCAAGAGTTCATAAATGTACGTTCGTTACATATTTCAAAAATTCATCCAAATAATTTTATTTAGAAATTAGAAAATCCATCATTTAGAACTTTCTTAGAGGTATTTTCTTCGGCTTTTTAATACATATCATATTACATTTGTGCGCAAAACATTTGCTTAAATTAATCAAGAGGCAGAACTTCTGAGTGGAAAACTTTACGTATATGTACTTCTTCAGTATTTTCCTGTTTAAATTATGAGAATACTTTTTTTTTTTGTTAAAACATATGTATTTTTTTTCTTAGAAATAATTCTATTCGAGGTACTGTCAGGTATTAATTATGATGATAGTTAAATCCTTTGCTAGTTCTTGCTTGTTATAACATGCCAACAGAAAAAGAAAAAAAAAAAAAAGGGCTTTGGATTAGCCTAAAACCTGTGAGAAGGGCCCATTTATAATGGGCTTAAATGGGCTCTGTTTGGATACTGGCTAGCCCGTACTCATTGCCCGAAGCCCGCCCGGTGCTATTCAAACCCAGAAGGGAGGGAGCACACCACGGTTAATCGAACGGCCCTTGTTTAATCAAAGAAGCGACCATTGGCCTCGCTTCAACCATACGATACGACCTCTCTCTCCCTTCATTTTCAAGCACCGCAACGGCGGAGCACCGCCGTGCTAGTTCATCCAGCTCATTTCGAACACTCCGTCTTCTCTCTACCATATTTTCGGAGAGAAAATCCTCTACTTGAATCTCGGGGCACTTCCATAACTTCTTCAGCGGTTCTTAGAAGCTTTCGCACATGTCAATTTCTCTGTCTGTTTGTTACTATTCCTAGCAATGGGATTTGGGTGCCTTTGTGGGCTTCTGGATCGAGCATATTGATGCCTCGTGTTTGAGTTTGAGGATTTTGGTTGCATAAAATCGCGCCAAGATAATAATTTAGGGTTTTGATTCCTGACATGTCCGATACTTCGAGGGGTCGAGTCACCATTACTCTTGGCCGTAGTGGTCAGGTACAAGTTTTGCTAAAGATGCTTGAAATCCCTTTTGATGGAAAACTAAATCATCGTAGAGTTTAATTTTCACTTTTTCTTGCATTCTGGGCATTTAAATGTTGGGTTTAAGACCTCACGGCTTGGATTTACCTTAGTGACTTGTTATGTGATTGAGCTAGGTTGTAAAGAGGGATCTGTCTGCGTCGGGTGCTTCTTTCTCTTCTTCTGTTCCCACAGCCGGGATTAAGCGCTCTGTGAGAGATAGAATAGGACATAATGCAGACAGTTCTTTATGGCATGAGGATGATCACAGCAACAATAAACGGTGTGTTTTCTATTCACTTAATCTCCTATTGTGTTGTGATAGTATTGAACCCGTAGCCCTTGGCCTGATGACATCAATATCTGATATTTCGTTAGTGTGTCCTGCGTTTGTTCAGAAACTTCATGGTTCACGTACGATGCTGCATGTTGTTCTTTGTTTCATGAATTGACAATTCACTTTGAATGATACCTTTATTCATGTTTACTGCAGACAGAGAGGAGATATAAGCATGCGAAGTAGGCTGGATGGTAGTAAACTTCCCTAGCAGTGATTTACGTTTGCATCTCTGTGTTGCTTTGTTGTCGCTATATATGTTTAATTTATTGACATCAATTTATTCAGAAGGGCGAATTGACAAAGATGATCTCCGCCTAAAGCTTATGAGGAAAAGTGCACTGAGGCGCACTGAGGGTAATGGTAATACTAAGAGGCTCATGGATCTCCGTGAAAAATTGTCAACAGCAGTTCAACATCCAGTTGCAAGTTCTAGTTTAAAACAACAAATGTCTGATAGGGAAACAAGCATGTTAGGCCGAATCTCTTCAGCTAGAAGTTCTGATGATTTAATGCGAATGGAAAATATGAGAAGCTCATACTCACCTTGGTCATCAAATCATATGAGACAGAGATCACCAGATGGATTTCCTGGTACTTCCAGGGGCATTTCCCCTCAAAGTAATGTTAAAGACCTCCAAAGAAGGCCTTTGAGCAGGGCATACGACAGTGCTAGGCCCGTTCCTTATGTGACTAGGGATGCTCTCGAGAATTCAAGGCCTCCAAGCGCTGCACCTGCATCTTTAATGTCACATTCTACAGTGTCCACGGTGCCTTCAATAACAGTTAAGCCTATAGCGCCACAACTTGGACAACTTCCTCCTCCAAGAATTGCAGCAGCAGCACAGAGGACTTCATACATGGTAAATGACAGTTACATTTCGATCATCAGACCCCCAACCACCCCCCCAACCAAAAAAAAAAGAAAGAAAAAAAATTCAGCCCCTTAGATTAGTGCTATGTGGAGAAACTTTTTTAATGGCTGTCAGCTTCATGTCCTGGTTGGTTCTGTTTTCTCCTCTGCTGTTATTTTATGCATTAGGAGTAGAAATTGTTTGTATAAGGAGAACTATGCTGATTTTAAAAGCAAATAATCTAAGTAGGATCGTATGCAGTTTTAATTATTTTGAACATCCACCTTAAAATACGCGTATTGAATTATTTTGGGTGAGTTAACCAATTAGTACCTCATGATCTGCTGAGTTGTGAACTGTTTTAGAGGAGATTCTGTTTTGTATATTGATATGGAATTTGTGGATATCTTGTTCTTTGCTGATCACAGTAAGTTGTCTTCGGGGATTTATTCTATAAAGAATCAGTCTGGCATCCATTATTTGGACTTTTTTGTGCAGGAGCAACCACATCTATGAAACCGTGGGCTATAAATAAACTCTTTTAGTTTTAGCATGACACCCTCATGTTCAATTATGACTCATGTTAGGTTTAAAAAGAATATTTCGTTTACTCAATGGCTTACAATTTTTTGAATAGCTAGGATTCATGAGAAGTTGATCTTAAAGATCTTAGTAAAATATTTGTAGTAAAATTTTATGCCCCTAGGTAACTAAATGGGTCAGAGAAAAATCTAGGAAAATTGCATATTTCAAACTTTGGTACATGGGGAAAGTAGAAAAAAGGAATGGTGTTGGGTATCATTGTTGATGAAATCATATTTTTAAGAATAATTGTTGGACTTGTGCTCCTTACTAGAGGCAAAAGTGCACCTTAAGCAAAATTTTTGGGAAGATATTATTTTTTTTTGGGGGGGGGGGTTGGGTTCAGAGCATGCCACCCAATGAATAGATTTTCATTGGCGGGGATCTTAATGCACATATTGGCAAGGAGGCAGGACAATATGCGAGGCTTATGGTAGTTTTGGTTTTAGGGAGCTTAATGATGAAGGACAATTTATTCTTGATTTCCCTTTGGCATACAATATCAAGATTGTCAATACTTGCTTTAAAAAGTAGGAGGAGTATTTAATCGCTACAAGAGTGGAGCCTTATGGCCGCAGATTAACATCTTTTTGGTAAGGAATCTTGATAGAAGACTTTGTGAAAATTGCAAAATGATTCCTAGGGATGGTATGACAACACAATATAGGTTCTAGTCTTTGATGTGCGTATTAAGAGTGAAAAGCAAAAGCATCGTCAAAGTTTTAAACAAAGGATCAGGCGGTGGCAGTTAAAGGATAAGAAGCATGGGATTTCAGAAGAAATCTTTTAGAGGAAAGGGCTTGGGAGTCACTAGGAAATGTTAACGTGTGGAAAGAAACGGCTAAGAAAGTTCAGAAGGATGCTTAAGCAATTTTGGGAGAATCAAAAGGTTTTGGACAGTGATAATGAGTCTTGGTGATAGAATGAGGATGTACAAGAGAAAATCTGACATAAAAGAGGTTGTTTCCAATATAAACCAATCATTTGTTGAATGGTTTTGTCTGGTTGGTCATTAGCTGATGCCAGAGATATGTGCCTTATGTGATATTCTGATGAGATTGAGTGAGAATTTCAGCAAATTATTGATTATGTCTTTTCAATATTTGTTATTTGCAAGTTCTCCTTTCTACTTGCCTATCAAGAAATTGCTTCAACTTTTACCTTAGAACTAGGATCCTACTTGAAAATTTGAATCTGAAAGGTTTGTGTGAAATAATGTTTTCTTTTGTTCATGTAATTTCATGATTTTTTTTTTTTAAATTTTCTTTCTGTTCGATCCCCCCCTTTTTATTAATACCTTTTAAATCGTCTTATCTGTGAATTTCCCAGTGTTATAGCAGAGGCAGATGAATTTTCAATGCTCCTATGGATTTCTCCGAATTCCTTTAATAAATCTTTCCACTATACCAAATTGGCCTTGAATTGAGTTGATACAGAGTATGTTCTAACATGTGACTTCCCTGGATAATCATGTAGGAAAGCGAACAGCAAACACCCCAAACTGTGGATGGTCTGTTAAATGCGCTGGGACTGGGAAAATATGCTATTCTCTTCAAGGCTGAGGAAGTATGAAACTCGTATATTTGTGTAAACAATGATCATCTTGATACATTTTGAAAGATATTTTAAAATCATAATTTGTTTAATGGAAGTTCAAAAGTATTGATGCACCGATTATTTATGCCCTAGAATAACAACAACAAAGCGTTATCTCACTAAGTAGGGTAGGCTACATAGATCGATGCCATTGACTATTTATGCCCTAGAATATGATTAGAAAAAATGTACTCCTCTAGTCTTATTTATAAATCACATTATTAAATTTTTGACATAATTGTACTATTTTACCTTTTATTGATTATTATGTGAATTGTTATTTTGTTGGAAAGTTTTATATATTTTAAAGGGTGAAATTGGAAAGTTGTTAAATTTTAAAATGGAGGGGTTTAAAGTTTTTTTAAGTTTTGTTAAACATGTTGGAAGTGATTGATAAATAGAACCCTACGAGTATTTTTGAATCATGGGCTCCTTTGAGTAGTTAATCCTTTACAAGATTGACATTAAATATTTACGTCAAAAACCTATTGAGTTCGTCATGAGCTTTACTGTTTCTAAGTTTAAAAAATGTTTCTAAACATGTTATTCGTAGAATGCATCCTTGATCATCCTTGATTATGTAAATTACAATGACGATGTGACTGAGAAATATGGTTCTTTGAGTAATGACACCAATTGCTTGAAGGACTTCTTCAAAATATGTTTCAGTTTTGAATTTCTTTTGTAACACCCTGTCTTGGTTATCGTCCAAAGTGCCTCATACAATGATTCATAAGCTTCAGCAATGTTTGGCATTCAGGAAAATCCTTATTGTTATGTTAACTTAATTAAAAATGAGTTCCTTCAGTATTTGGCATAGACTAGTAAGTTATCGTCTCATCATATTAGTGTTTTTATGAAATTATGGATTAATTAAATAATGTAAATATAATATACGTTTGATGTTTTAGTTTCGTTCCTGTCTGGGTTAGATTTGTAATTTGGTATTTATGTTATCCATTCATGTATATGCAGGTGGATATGGCTGCATTGAAGCAGATGGGAGAGAATGATCTTAAAGAGCTTGGAATTCCCATGGTAATTGCCTTGTTTCACTTGTGGCAGTTAGATGTCCCATGAGGCTTGAAATTTCAGCTTGAATATTTTTCCTTATAGATGATTAAGAGTGTTTTTGGAATCATGTTGCGGTGGTTCCGAACCACGTTTTGGCAGAAGGAAACAGTGGTTCTAAGCTTGCGCTAAAGCCTTGTCATTTTGCTGAAGAAACAGAAATGCATCATGAGTTTATGTTGTATTATGTTTGCATGTTAACTCCTGTGTTATCTGTCCTGTTCAATGTACCGCCTATCTTTTACTGTTTTCCTCTGCAGCATCTCCATTCCCTGGGTGTATTAAATAAGACCAAATGAAAACCATTAAACGGCAAAATGTCTCCACAGCATATATCATTTTGGTGTCATATTTTATAATATGCTTTGCTATTTATAGATTCTTTAAAAAGACTTGTTTCTTGGGCTATTGCCATTTTACTGTATGACGTGCTGGATGCCTTTTCTTACACTCTGCCTCAGGATGTACTCCTAATCCTATAGCAGTTTGTGAGGATGCCTTTTCTTACACTCTGCCTCAGGAACTCCTCATCCTATAGCAGTTTGTGAACGTTTTATTTCTCAGCCATGGACACGTGGCTTTAATACGTTCTGTAAAATCGTGTCATCTGAACCATGTGAAAGGTGTTATTCCTGGTTATTTTCTTCTTTTTGGTGAATTTATTCCTGGCACTTTGCTTGTCTTTTGCTGCTGTTTCGTGCTTCTTGTGTACTTGTACCCCCTGTTACAAGGGGAATTTGGTGGAGCACAGAAGTATGCTGCGTAAATTCTTGGTTACATTGTTTTTTATGTGCTCTTGTGCATTTTTTTGGGGGCAAAATTTGATGTGTTCTTATGAAGGATGCTTGAATTGCAGGGTCCAAGGAAAAAAATTCTTCTTGCACTCCTGCCTCGCGCCAAACGTCAACAGTGACATCTATTGTGCTTGGTGCTGACACTAACGCGTGTTGGGTTCACCAGCTTATTTTTTTCGGGTGATGATGAAGTATGCACATGAAGATTCCAATGACTATAACATAGGCCTTTTAACCTATGGGGTGGATATTATCCCATTCATATATATACTGGTTCCTTTCTGTGGATAACAACATAAGATTGGGTTATGATCTATAAAGTGTGGGGAATATTGATATGCGTATAATGATATCTCTTTTGTTTTTTTCCCCCCTTTTCTTTTTCTATTTTCCCTAAATAAATAGCTAATGTCATACTGGGATCATCACTTTGTCCTGAGTAGTAATTGATCAAATTTCTGACATGCTTTTGTGCTTTTGCTTTCCACGGAGCAAGGATTGTGCCCTTAAAATTTGACTAATCTTTTTGACCATCATTTCACTAAATTTTTGTCCAACTCTTGTCTCCCATGAGAGTGTGGATTTTGTTCATAATGGATGGTTAAATAAGCTATTCCAAAACTTCAAAAAAGAGGTTCAAATATTAATAAATTTTGAGCAGCTTATATCATAAGACGTGGCATTTTGGTTCTTAATATAAGAGTTAGTTGATAATTGAATTTGGTCATAAGTATGAGATTTTATCTCTCAAATTTATAATTTATTCTTTAAAGTATTGTCATTGATTACATGGATGAAGGGGTTTCATTTAAAGGTGGTCATGATTAAAAATGATACTTTAGGAAAAATTAATTTATATTTATTACAAATAACTAAATTTTTTAAAATAAATTTTATATTAAGAATCGAATGCATTTGGTGATGCAGAAAGAGGTTTATATCTTGTTAATTTGGCCTTCTATCTTATTTTTTTCAAAAAGTATTTCATATATTGTATACAAATATACAATACCAGGATAATGATGCCATGATATTTAAAATTCCTCTAATTGTTGTTTTATACATCAAAAGGCAAAAATGATAATTAACAAAGCGAAACTAGTGCCATGTGCCTTTTTAAAGTGCTATGATTTAGTGTCAATGGTCTATTTGAATTAATGTGGGTAAAATCGATCTTTATCCCTGCCGATTTTTACAAATTGAAGTTGGGATAAAAGTTAATTAATGTAATATAATTTATGTTTGAATAGGGTTTTATAAAAAAATCAGTTTAATAAAAATTTGTTTGGATGATATGAAAAAAAAAATCCAAAAGCTAGAAATTCAGAAAAAGTTGATTCAATTTTTAAGTGACTTTTGGGTGAAAAATTCAGTTGATCCAAATCTATATCAAGTATCATTTTCTATCCAACTACTTTGTTTTTTTTGCCCCAATTGATTTCTTGGTTTCCTAACACTGTCTCAAATAAGCACTAATATAGAAAACGCATTTGGTATTTAGTCCAAATATGACAGGAAATTGATAAAGAAGTGGTTAAACTAGTTTTATGTTTTAAAATTTTAATCCAGGTTTCTAAGCTTCAAGTTATGCTTATATACCAAATAAGCATGGAAGGGAAGAAAAATAAACATACAAGGAATAGGAATTTATGTATAAGAAGCTTAAACATATATTATTATGATTGTTTTGAATGAGATTATTCCCTATGCTGCCAAGATAAAGTATAAGAACTGCTTAAAATTATATTATTTATAAAATAGTACGATCTATTTTAAATATTGGGCAAATTTACAGATCCATCCTTGTAAAGGTATAGATATATTGGATGTCATTTGAAATCCAAGTCTTGGCGTTTAATTTATTGGATGCTTTAGTTCAACAACAGACACTTGTGCCGCTATAGGTTTGGATCAAGTACCTTTCAAATTGAATATTTATTTGTTTGTTTGTTTATTTATTCCATATCATTCAGTTTGAAATCAAACAATATTTATTTAAATGTGAAATAAATCTTCAATTCGTAACAATCAAGTTTAATTATAGCATGCCTACATATAATTTAATGATCTTAATAAGAACAACTTGGACGGCAAAGCCAGCTAAAATGAAAAGGGAAGTTTATGTATTTTATTTATTAATTAACAATTAATGTTAATTCATCAGATTTGTGCTTCATATGAGCAAGTATGTGTTATAATATGTTTTTTTTCCCTGTGCTTTTAAATTTATGCGATGTGCTTGTGTTTTTTTCAGTACATCACATGTTTGGGTGTTATTAATTATTCTAAATCTGAATCTGAATCTAAATGCAGCTATGTTTTATTATTTATAATAACATAAAATATAAAAGGTTGCGTAACAAAGATGGCTGAAAAGAAATCATTCCAACCTTAGACTCCAGATGTTATTGACAAATACGCTTTGATGTGATAATGTTTTCTATAATATTATAATAGTGATATAATTTTATAAGATATTAAATTTCATTTGTTCAATTTTTTATCCAAATGTGGAGATAATATGAGGAGAAGAAAAGGGGACAAAATGATAAGGACATAATCCAAATCCGTCATTGTCATGTGTAATTTTTTTTTTTTTGGTTTTAAAGTGCCTGTAACTCATTCAAGAATGCACTCAAACTCTTACAAAATTAACCAAGGGCGAGGATACTCAATCAATAATGATATTTTTCATTAAAAAATCATTAATCATATTTATATAAAAATAAAATTTATAGTATTTATTATTTAACTATGCGTGTACTTCTTCGGTCCTTAATATCAGACCTATTTAACTTGTTTAGATTAAGAAAATTAGGTAAGTTAGTTAATTATAAAAAAATATAATATTTTTTTCCTAAAACACCATAATCATTTTCTTTAATATCTTTTCTCCTTCTTCTACTTGATCATGGTTAAGGGAAATCTATAGGGGTAATTTACAAAAAATTGATAAATATGAAAAATATGTCTATATTTAGGACCAAAATTAACTCAATAATTAGGTCTTATATTAAGTATCGGAGGAGTAGTAAATAATACATTGTGTAGAATCTGTATATTATATGCCTAGGAACAATTCGGTGAACTTTTAGAAGAAGCACGTTCCAAGCAGTTTCGTATTCTTGCATGTGGATTAAATTTGTATAGAGTGATTTATTGCGAGTTTGGTACAACACATTATTCATAATTGACTTCCAATATGCAGGACCATGCAACTATCACATTTAAGTCACACAATTATTATTTTTTGTTTGCTGAATTAATTCACACAATTAGGTCATACTTATAAGAAAGAAGTTTAAGGGAAGGCAAAGAGGAAATTAAAAAAAAAATTTGTTTGTACTGCATCACTCTGATCTATTTATAAGATGAGGAAAAAACAATTTTTTGTAATAATTATAAAGCATATGCCATTAATTTTTATCACTAGTTTCTCCTTTTACCCCTTATTAAATACTGGCCCATGCTATTTAATTTTTAAATTATGTATATTTAATCTGGAAAGAATTGAAAACTTATTAAATTGTCGAACTAGATTAATGAAGTCTAAAATTTTATTTAATTTTGGTGAAAAAAATATTGAAAGTGATTTATAAATATAATCAAAAATGTTAAGCGGTAGCTAGCAAGTGAGATTGAACCCACAATCGAGATAAATGGCATGCCACTATACCACAGGTAGTTATAAATAAAAATACTTATTAGAAGGGTTTTAACTTTAATTTAAACACTCCCGACCTGTCAAGAATTAGTTTCAAGTACAAAATGATACGGGGATGCCTTGAAGTACACTAAAAATTAAAAATGCTTATGGTCATCACAAGTGGGAAGCGATCTGTGTCATTGACATGGGAGTCGTCTTCTTCATTGGCGGCTTCACTGTATGTAGGGTTAATTTCAACAGATGTATAGTAGCTTCAACTTCAACGGCAATGCATGGGATGACCGCGATGGCAGGCTTTGAACTGACTTTATATTGGCGATATTAGTGATGGGCGAACCTTCAGGTGAACATGGGACGTGTTACAAATAATGTAATTTTAACTTATTTTGATAAGCTAATTATCATGCATATAAAATGGCTCAATAATTGCCCTCCCTGTTCTCTTTTTATAAGAAACATATGACCAAATCATGTATACCAAAAAGTTAGTTAAAATATTAAAGATAATAAATATGTAAAATTATAAGTTTTTCCCCCTAAAGAATACTCTTATTTATGGGGAAGAGAGTGAAAAAATTATTAAAATAAAAAATTATGAAAGAGAGGGAATGTGTCATGAAGAGAGATGAATGAGTGATGTTTCAAGAAATGAGATAATAAGTATATTGAGTACTAATAATGATAACTAATGGGGCTAAATAGAAAATGAGCTAAAAATTTGAGATATCCTATAAATTTTCTTATAAACAAGAAAAAGATAGATATACAGTAGTTGTTTCTTATAAAAAAAGAGAAGAATGGAGTAATAACGTGGAATGATTTGCACACTTGAACTTTAAGATCTTTAGCAAAAATGTAATTTTTTCTTTTTTTCAATTGATCTAACCCATTTATTCTCCTCCCATTTTCCGGGTTTGCTTTTACTTCTTTGAAAAATGGAATAGCCCTAGCTAGTTATCTCGCTGTCTGCAAAGACTTGATGTTTGTGATGTCTTATCGTTGAAATGTCCAAACGTGAGTATTTTTTTCCAGAAAAAATTAATCTTTTCATCCTTATAGTTTTGACGCATTGAAAACTTAGTTCCTATACTTTGACTCAGTACAACTTAACCTTTATAGTTTTGACTTGGTTGTAACTTAATTCTTGAAGTTTGACTCGCTACAACTCGGTCTTTATACTTTTAACCATTTTATAATTTAGTCATTCCTTTTATTAGATATAGAATTTTATTTTTTAAAAACACAAAGACTAAATTATAAAATAGGTAAAATTATAGGGATCGAGTGACAGTGAGTCGAGTTTTAAGAACTGAGTTACAACCGAGTTAAGGCTATATAGATTGAGTTATATCGAGTCAAAATATAAAAACTGAGTTACAAATGCTTCATAACCATAAGGACTAAAAGATTAATTTTTTCTTTTTTTATTATAAAAAAATCAAGGAAACTTACATAAAGAAAAAAAATTTTTGGATTTAGATGTTGATGAGTATTTTTTTCCTGTTTGCCAACAAAAACCTTGGTGAATAGTGAATACTTTGTTCGTAGTATTGTTGAAAAACCTTGATGAAGTAATTTGTTTGTTGGGATGTGAAAATTTTGAGATTAATGATTTCAAAAGTAGAAGCTCTGTGTGAAAATGAACGAAAATTTAAGAGAATATATTTCCTTTCTGAAAAAATTAAGAAAACATAATAAAAGAAGAAGCTAAAAATTACTCAATGTTAAATAAAGAATGTCAACAAAAATTTGTTGTTACTTGTAAATTTAGTGTTGTCAACATTAAATAAAGTGTTGTTATTAAACCTGATTTAGAATTTAATAATTTCCAACTTCTTTTTTTGGTTTCATTTTTTCAAAAATTAACTCAAATATATCCCTTCAAGAAGCATGGAACTATATGTCATTATATATATATATATATATATATATATTTGAAATTAAGAATTCAGAAAATTTAGAACTCTGAGCGATTAGCTACAACAGAAGGAAAGCAACGAGGAGGAAGAGAGATGCAGCCTGGAAATTTCGTTGTTGTGACATTAAGCGAAGTGCCATTAGTGCGCTTAATCCATCATTATATATTTATATATATATATATTCGGCATTACCAGACATTTCAAATCAATCTCTTTTCTTCAATCTTTTTTAATTATAACAACTACTTTATCACATTGCAATTTGCAATTAATTAATATATTTTTTTCTCACTTGGTCAGTTATGGCAGTCTATGATCTCTCTTCAATTCACGAAACAAAAAAAAGAGAAGTAATATGGATTTGCAGTCACTAAGCAAATAATTAGAAGTTCCATTTTCGGTAAAGTTAACCTTGTTGAAAAGGATTTATCTATCTCGGCATGAAATATGTTTTTATTAGTGGAAGATCATGAATTTAATCTTACCTATAACTCCAAATTGTTAATATTCGCTGCTTAAAAAGAAACTTTCTTGCAAAGGATTTACCTTTTATACCTATAACTACCTTGAAAATTAGTCTTTTCTACTAAGAGGATACTACTTATAATCCCCAAAAAAATTATTATTTTTCTTTAATTCTTAAATGGCACAAAATTTTTACACAAGTTACATTGACAATCAGAAGGAAAGTAATAATATCACTTTTTAATTATGAAATTATTACCTTCCATCACCTGGGAGAAGATTCTCTCGCTTATTTACAATTTTTGTTATGTAATTCCTAAAAGTAATTTTCTTTCTTTTAATGTGCTAATATATGTTATATGACATTTTATAATATTTGAACTCTATCATATTATTTTGTCGTGGTTCCAAAAAAATTATGAAATTATTACCGATCATACTTTTTAGTTTCTACACTATCTTGGTCGCAATCGGTGTAGAAAAACCGCTGTAAAAACTGAATTTTTCATTAGTGATGATCTTATGCATTTATTGAGCTGAGAGATTTTTACACATGTGATTCAAGCTCGATCAATTTAAAACAGTGAGGCCGGTATAATTTTAGAAATTAAAACAATTAGTTTGAAAAACTATTGATAAACGACCAAGCATTTGAGACTTTTCCAGAAAAGCAACAAGGTTTCTGGAATAGGATCGCAACTGTAACTGAAACAAAATAAGAATGGTTAGGTTGCAAGATAGGGACCACCTCATGAAAATAAATCATCTTCTCAATTAATTAATATGCCCTCAAGGACCAACGTGTAATGAAATGAATTGATAAAATAATTGATTTAATTAAATCAAATCAATCACTAAACCCACCCACTAATTAAGTATATTTTGAATTGATAACATGCTTTGATGACTCTGCATGTATATATGCCCACTTGGAATTTTCCTCCTAAAGCAAGAAACCAACTTGAACATGATTTTTATGAAAGAAAAACAAGGGGGAATTGATGGTCACAATGAGATATGTATGCACACAGACACACACCCACCCACACACACACACACACACACATTTATATTGGTGGGATCTCTTTGCTTAAGACTTATAACCAAATAAGAGTATTATATTAAAAGTATAAAATTAATTATTTAGAAATAAAATATTAATATTTTCAAAGGAATTTAATATTAAAAATATGAAAAAAAATATTGTCGTTAAATATAATTAATTAGGAATTGTTTTGATATTCTGAATATATATGATATTTGATAAAACAAAAATTTAAATGTAATTAATGAAATAAGATTTACCCCTATATATAAGCCAAAATATTGAAAAAAAAATATAATAATAAAGAATAAGTTAAAAATTGGTTAAAGTATGATAAATAGATTGGAAATTGAATCATTGATAATTTTTGACTCAAGTTAATTCCTAAAATTTAACTCGTTGAATTTAATTCTTTAAAATTTTCATCATTGAATTCATTGCTTGTTAAATTAAAAAAAAAAATCACAGTTTTTCATGGACCGTATAGGTTGTAGTTGGGATATAAAGAGTACAGATCAACATACTAAATTTCAGTCCCCAAAAAAAAAAAGATCAACATACTAAAGCCGGTAGAAGTTGAGAAATTAAGTTCTACCAAGTTAAACTTTAGAAATTATAACTAAGTCAAGTTTATAAGAACTAAATAATTCTTTTTTGTACATAAATTAAAATCATTACTCTTTTACAAAATTATATTTGAATCCGATTACATATAGAATTTTAAATGAATTATATTATTGACAACTTGTTAATAGTGATGAAACTTGTTATCTTTATATATATTGATATTAATAATTAAACATATTGATATGTCATTTCATAGGCTTGATTTTATTTTTAATAAAATCAACATAACAAGATTTATATGTAACGTGAAGTTATAAAAAATGTTTAAGTTCATTGTATTCGTTTTATGTGTTATCTTTTGAAAATCTTATTAGTTTATTGTTGGAGGAAGTCCCACTAAAATATAATATATAGACAAGATGTGGGTAGAGACAATAGAATAAGAACACAATCTGATGGTTTCAAAAATGGGCCAAAAGCAACAAAAGGTGGGGTCGAAAATGAACAACTGTCCAAGGCAAATGCCAATATATTTTTTGAATTAAAAATTAAGCAAAAGATGATTAATTAATTCTCCTGAAAAGAAAACATATGCTTTTGGAGTATAAAATATTAGGGTTTTCCTGCTTTAACAAGATATGCTGAGATCTTATGGAAGACCCTTCACTATATCAGCTTACCTCATTCCCCACTTTTTGTAAAAATATATATATTCCTTCATTTAGCAACTTTTCTCTTTTCCTATCATCATAGATTAATCACATGGTCAAGATAACCCACATTAGTTAATCAATTAATTAATTATTAATTCCCATATCTTTATCTATTTGTGGGTGGAAGGATAATTACAAAGAAGCTTCCTTTAGTGCTGAATTAATAATCACATTTTTTTTGAAGCGTTTGTAAATACTTCATTTGCATTTGAGCTGTAGTAGATGGTACTAGCCAATAGGGCATTCACATTAATATTTAATTTATAAACTACCTCTGATCCTTAGTTTGTAGTGTAAATTGAACTAATAGGAGTATTAAAACCAAATTTTATAGTATATTATTAAAATTTTGGCAAATTGTATTATTCATCATGGTGAAATATGACTCACTGTTAAACTTTGTATGATATAAAAGATTTACTATTTACGCTTGTTGAGACTAAGATGGAGAGAGTTGATTCGAGATTAAAACATAATTTTTAGATTCCAACAAAAAAAAAGACATACTTTTTAGATAAATTAGTTATATTTTGGATAATTAATCCAATATGGCCACTTTAATTAGGGAGTGAGAGGATAATTTAATAGAGAATTTTCTTTAAATAAACTCTCTGAAAATTTATTTTAATTTTTATTATCATAACTGCTAGCTACCATAGCAATAAAGTTACAACAAAGGTGTAATTGATAAATTAAATAATTGGCATGAAATGGTTAATTAGTATAAAATACCTGAGAAGACATTTGTAATATTTTATGTGAAACTTACTAATTAATTATAAAGATGCAGAACTATTTTTCTTGAATCGTGAATAACAAGCATCTGATTAAAAGATTTCATAAAATATTTGTATCATATTTTTTGCTCTTCTATGAATTTTTCTTAATATTATAATATGATGATAAAGCTGAGCGGTAGATAACAATACATAAAGCCAAGAAATCATTGGATGAACAGTTAAAATATTCTTACAAAGCAGGAAATTATATTAATTAGTAATTAAGGTTAGAGAGCTAGCTAGCCGATCACTTTTGTCCTTCCAGATGATATGATATTATATATATATAGAGAGAGAGAGAGAGAGAGAGAGAGATAAATAAATTATAACCTTTGTTTCTTTGACTTTGTGCAGCTACAGTTAGTTTAATAACTTTAATCATGTCTAATAAAGCACACCGAATATTATATCACCATATCTTTCTAAATACATTAAACAAAACCACCAATTAAGTAGTGGTAATTTAATTAATTATATCATAATTAAAGTGCTTCCCAGACCGTCTTATTGGAGGAGTTTGAGGTGTATCATTATCTACTACTACAATATTTAAAAAAAGAGTTGTAATTGAACCAACCACCATTGCATGACAGAGAGACAACACAATATAAATAAACAAAACTTTAATTTCATTAATTAACTAGTATCATAATTAATCATCAATCAATTAATCAATTAAATATTTATTTTCCTCTTATCTGATCTGACTTTTCTTTTTCTCACATCTTTTATATGTTCTCTGTATTGACCCTTTGATTTTTTTAATGTAAGCATCCCATTATCAGCTTTACTATAAAAGGAAGAGAAGCTAAAGAAGCCAAACCACTTCTTGGTACAATACCACCTTCTTCAAAACTCTTTCTCTCTATCTATCTCTCTCTTTCTCTCTCTAGAAGATGGAAAAGCAAAGTGTTCTGTGTGATGTTTCTTCAACATGGGAAGGTTCAGAAAATGAACACTCCATGGAGAAGAGGTTGAAGCTATTTGGGTTTGAGTTAAATCCATGTAGCAACAAAATTACCAGTTCAAATGAAGGAGACGAAAGTGTGAACTCTTCAACCTCAATTCTGTCTTCTTCTTCATCAGGATCAGAAAGAGCAGACAGATCTGAAGCAGGTCAAGATCAGAAGATCGTTATCGTCACAGAATCATCTTCAAGAGATCAAAAACCTAATAATAATGATAATAATAATAAGATTTCTTCTTCCTCAGATGAGCAGAGAAAGTTCGAGTGCCAATACTGCTTCAAGGAGTTTGTAAACTCACAGGCTTTAGGAGGCCATCAAAATGCTCATAAGAAAGAGAGAATGAAGAAGAAGAGACTTCAGCTTCAAGCCAGGAAGGCTAGCTTCAACTTATATCTTCAACAACGATCTTTTCAAGCTAGTAATAATTATTATTATCAGTATTATGGATCTGGATCTGATAATAGTAATAATTATAATTCTTCTTCTTGGTTCTACGATCCTTCTTCGTATAACAACTCAGCCGAGTTGTTCAATCTTCATGAAGGATCCCAGATTAGCTTCAGATCTTCATCAAATCCTCATCATCATCCTCGTCGTTCTCTTCAGGAGCCTTCTTGTATGTTTGATTTCTCTCGCACTGATAGGCCTTTCATGTCGGAGACTTCGACCCAGAAAACGAATCATTCTCAGAAAGCTTTGGATCTTCAACTAGGCTTAGCCTTGGAGTCGAATACAAGAATCTAAGAAGCATATGATCATACCTAGGTTAGAAAATTAATTTAGTGTAGGTTTTATATATATATATATATATATATATATATCTGTAGTTTCCATATTGTATTTGTTGAAGGATGATTTATGTAAGACAGGGATTTTCAGCATCAGGGGGGGAAAAAGAAAATTGAATGAGAAAAACAAATAGTATTCACTATTCTTTATATTTACACAAGGCCCACTACAGTAAAGTGTTTTGACGTTGACCATATGTGTGTGCAATTAAAACGTAGATTTTTGTTATTAATTTATAGTCTATTAACGGTCACTGCTCATAGATTAATTGATAATTATAAGATAAATGGACACGTCCCAGAAAAGCTTTTGTTGATTTCTTTATTAGAAGATGAAAAAGAATTTTTTTTATTGGTGACAAAGGTAGGATTTTGCTAATTCTCTTTCTATATGATTGTGCTTTTGTACATCTCATGCATTTGTCATATTTTCTACACAAGAGGCCCACTTAATTAATTAAATTAGCAATGTAGTTATTTTTAAAAGTATTTTTTTTCCCGGAAAAAAAAACAAGTGTATGATATTTGATACTATTGATTCAGTGAGATTCAACATGAGCCAAGGTCAAGCTCTAACAAGTGGAAAACCCTATAAGCCCAATTTTCCATATCCTTAACTCTTGAGTTTAAAAAGATTTGCTTCAGTGTCAGCAAAGTCTTTTTATATATGTATATATATTCTAAAAGAATTTTAACATTACATTTGAAGCGACATAAATAAAAGTAATGTAGTGAGTATGCTTATCTAAGCCTGTTCTAGAATAGACATAGATAAAGATATCTATGTCGACTCAAAACGGATGCAGACAAATATTGTTACTTATGTTTTTATGTCTGTTTTGAGTGAATAGACGTAAGAACATTACTATCTATGTCTATTTCTTTTTTAATTGTGGGTTTCTTTTTTACTAAAAATTACACGCAATTAATAAAGGAAAAATTCCCAAAAAAAAAAAGACTATTAAATTTCAAAATTTCAAATTAGGAATTACTATAAAAATGTGTAGTCATTTGCTTTTCAAAGGTAGTCATTTTCTTTACGAATGTAATAACCAATACTTATTTAGGATTTTAAAATTCAACAGTCATTTTTTATTAGAATTTTCCCATTAATAAATGCTTATATATATAGAGAGAGAGAGTAGAACGCCAACAAATAAGCAAGACATTTGTTAGAGCTGTTCAGCACCTGTCATATATAAATCATTTCATAACAAAATAGTCAAGCGTATAACTCCAAATTACAACTCCAATTGTCAAAATATCCGATCCACAACAATTTTTACAATAAACTTTACACAAATGTGAAGCTAATAATGCCAGCCTAATTTACTTAAATAAAAACCAAAAGCTAGATTACCTTATTTTTCACTCTCTTAAGTCGGCAACTCTTGAAGAAATTATTGTGCCAAAAAATCTCGAATAAAATTAATTCTTCAATGGTTATCATAAAAAAAACCTCAAATTGAGAAATAAACATTATTTGAATCTATCAAGATAATAAAATAAACCATAAAAAAATTAAAAAATATTTTTGAGCTAAAAATCTGAGTTTAACCATAAATTATTCAAAGTAGGTTATGATAATCAGTTATTATAAATCATGATTTAAGAGAATCAATTTTATAAATCTATTTTATCCAGAATCTATTCTTCTGCCACTCAACATGACCTCTTTTAATCAATAAACAAAATAATTGTGGAGTGTGGTGAAGATGAAATTAGCAATTTACTTGTGATAATGAGAACACACTTACTTAGGAATCGCACTATATATAGAAAGTAAAGTATACAAATATAAAATAAATCCTTGATCCCATTTTCTTTTATTCTTTCAACTCACACTGTTTGACACCCTCTATACAATGTCTTTATAGTTTATTCGTATTTTTTTAAAAATATATTCAAAGAATAAATAACGTGGATTAATATTGCTCTTAATTAATTACAATTTATAACTTCTTTCCTTTCCTTTTTTTTTTTGGGTCAAGGTCTTATAATTCAATTATTCAACCAACACCAAATTCCTTCTTTTCTTAAATGTGAGCTTGTAAAATCGAACCCTTTTATAAATGATATAACGGGAAACGCGTGCTTGAATTATGAACCGAAAAACCTGATACATTAGTAGTTAAAATTTCTCATCCCAAGACTGACTACTATAGTAGTGAGTTTTTTTTGCGTGTGTTAATTAGTTATTTCACTTAATTAATTACTATGTGATTTTTGCAATTGATTGGCGTATTTAGGAAATTACTCCTCCATGTCAATTTATAAGATGTTTTTTGAGCAAATTATAAAGGCCAATAAGCATCATTAAATACAATTAGAAACCTTGCTTTTTTCAAAAAGATATACAAATTAAACATTCAAAAATATCCTTCATTAACAGGTTATGTGTATATGAATCATTGTTATTTTTCAAAATATCTTATGTTATAAAACATTAAGAATCGCTCCACAATTAAAATGCATCATAAATTGAAACTGAGGGAATAAAATGTTTTAAATTGCAGCGCACCCTCATTATTTATGTACATATATGTACATACATACGTACCTATACATATACATATATACATATACATACATATATGTGCGCACGCGCGCGGCTGTGTATATAAAGAAGCATCAAAAGGGCCACACTTGAGTCATCTGGAATTGCTTATGTGACTGAAATTTCTTGAGTCATTCTTGAGTTTAACTTCCTAAAGCAAAAAACTTTATATATATATATATATATGTATATATATATATATATATATCTCATACTTAGGGGGTGTTTGGATAAGTCTAAACCATGGTTTGGAAAATAGCTTCTGGAGAATAGATTATGGGAAGAATAGATTTTGAAAGAATAGATTTTCTGAAAAAGTGATTCTGATAAAGTGAGAGTGTTTGGATAGTTGTTGTTAGAAGTGCTTTTTTATATGTAGAAATTACTCAAAAGAACATAAATTTAAATGATAATTACATATAAAATATATTTCATAATATATGTTTGTTTGAAGTAATAAATTTTTTAATAATATATATTTTGGTAACATAATAAATAAGACATAAATAATATAAATAATAAATAATTAATGTGTATATATATTTATAAATAATTACAATATTTTTAGGAAAATGATTTATTTTGCTAATAACAAAATATTATTATTTATTAAAGATTTTAAACATGAATATTATTTTGCCAATAAAAATATTATTATTTATTAAAGTACTCCCAAGCTTCGAGCTTTCCCTGCTTCCTTCCTTATCCCCTTCTGTTTATCTTTCCTATCTTTAAAGCTTTGTCGCACTCTGTGCTTGTCTGTTTCTTCTGATTTCTTGCAGTGAAGTCGCTCTATTTGATAAACAACAAAAAACAAAGTCACTCTGTCTCCTTCGTTGAACCCTCACAGCATACTGCTGGTAACGATAATGGACTACACACTGCCTCCGTTTGACGACGGCTTCACTGCCGAGAAGCTCTTCTACCAAGGTTACTCCTACACTTATGACGACGTCATTTTCCTCCCTCACTACATTGACTTCCCTACTGATGCCGTTTAGCTTGCTACCAGAGTCAGTCATAATGTGCATCTAAATATCCCCCGTGTCGTTTCTCCGATGGACACCGTCTCCGAAGCTCCCATGGCCATTGCCATGGCTGCCCTTGGTGGTATCGCTTTTATCCACTCTAATACGACGTCGTCCGATCAGGCTGCCATGGTACGTTTCGCTAAGTCACGCCGAGTGCCGATTCTCTCCAGCCCTGTCTTCAAACCACCCTATGGGAGGATTGAGTCGTTGGATGATTTTGGCGACTCATCGACAGCACAGCACGAATGGGAGAAGAGGCGACGGCAAAGGAGAAGAGAAATCTTCGGAAGGGGCGACGGAATGGGAGAAGAGAAATGAGAGAAGAGGCCTTCGTTAAGCTTAGAATGGGAGAAGAGGTGCTTTTTCATCATTGGGAGCTACTGACAGGAGTAATAATTACTCCAACGACTATTTGTTACTCCTCAGAAGCAACCCGCGTGATGCTTAAGCCCAAACCATGGTTTGTCTACTCAAAACCAAGGTTTTGTTGGAAACCAAGGTTTTAAAAAAAAAGTTGGTGTTTGGCAATCAGCCTCCCCAAACCATGGTTTGGGGTCTAGAAACACTTCTGGGGCAATTGCCAAACACCCCCTTCGCTGAATTTATTTATAAAAAATGATATCATATTTGTCCTTTTCCTCAATGCTCATCAAAAATAGATTTTCGTTTTGACTAATTAGAAGTCTGATTCCCCGCATTGGGACTATGTCATCAGAGAGATATGAGTGGATCAAATCATGGGAATAATGTTAGTTTGACAAGTATAATGCATCTGGATTACTTGTAGATTAACACTTCTATATTTAAATATTATTTTGAATGATTATATATAAATATTTTTATATATTTTAATTAAATTATAATACTTTAATTATGATTGATTGATTTGAAGCACTAATACTTGAGTTGCTATTTCAACTGATTCACTCACCGGTTCAATTTTCAGTGCCTTTAAATTAATGAATTAAAGAAAAAAAATAAAGCAATTTGATAGAATTAACAATAATGGTACGAAGTCATTTTATTTCATAGGTAATGTGGTGCAACCCTTTGGATTCAAGCTTGAATCCAAACGTCAAATACGTAAATAAAATCAGATAAAAATGTGGCTTTGCTTCTTTACTTAACACAAGATGTCATTTTCATCTATGAATTTTATAAAGTGTCTTTTTTTAATGCTTTAATATTTACTGACATATTAAGTTTAGATCAGCACTTTTAATAAATGTGCTGACATATTAAAATTATGATATAAAAGAATAATTATTTAATATTAACAGTGTTTAGTTAAAAGGATAAAAATATTTTATAAAATTAAGAATAAAGTAAAATCTTATATAAAATTAGAGGATCAAAGGTTAACTTTTGTCAAAATTTAAACACATATTTTTTGCCAGAAAAATTTAAGTATATAAGATCTATTATTCGTATTATTATTTAATTATTTATTTGTATTGTGACAAGCATCTTTTTCCCCATATACTACCTCCGGTCCTAATTATAAGACCCAGTTGACTAATTTGAGAAAATTAAGGAAGTAAGTTAAGTTAGTTATTTGTAATAGATAAGTGTTGTC